GGAAAGTAAGGCTGACAGGAAAGATAGTTTAAACTTAAAATAATGTGTTAAAATAAATATAAACCCTCCAATCTGATTCTGTTTTTTAATGTTTTAACATTTTTAATGGTTTGATTTTCATATGTATTAATTTCTTAAAAGTGTTGAATTTTTTGGAGCAGCAGCTCTTGGTAACTTTTAGGCGAGCTTACTACATTATATATATATATATGTATATATATACAGTACAAAGTCCGAGGTCGGGACTTCGGGGATCCCAGATTTGAGATTTTTCCGGATATTAGATCATTTTAAATCTACTAGGATGTCACGTAGAAATTATAAAATTGAAAATATGAAATCGTGAATTATGAAATAATGAAGCATTTATGATTTAAAGGGTATTAAAATTTACAAAAGAAAAGAGCTTAATAATTTATATGTTTACTTTATTAAACATTTCTTTCAATGTGAGTTGTTTGATTTGTTTTTTCTGCTGATACTTTAGACTAATACTATAGACATATAATTTCTTGTTGAGATATTAAGTTCCATTGTTCAATCCTGTAATTGCTGTGTCGAGAATTCCGAATAACTTGTCAATCAAAATTTTTTCTCGTTCAGTAACCTCTCTGTTACTTTCTTCACTATCGGTAGCTGTATTTTCTGGATTTAGAACCATACTACAGATTTCGCCCTCCGTTAATTGATTAATGATTGGGGCATTGTCATCGCAATGAAAAACTTCTGTTTAACTTCGCTAAATTCTGCCGCCTGGTGCGGCCATGCGAGCTCTGGCGCTGGTTCTGGCTTTATGTGAATAACAAATCAGTTATTCTTAATTCAAATAGCACTAAAATATAATCGTTTGTCCTATGAGTATCATTAACAAAATCTATTTTCAGCATAAGGAAAGAAATTTCTGTTAAATCTTCCCTTGTTATCATTTTAGCGCATTAAATTTAAATCTGTAATCGGATAATACTCTGTTATTTGGCGTCGCTGCATGAGTCATCACTCAAGTTGTCATCCGTTGATAAACATGCGGTGTGATGAAAGCAAAATATAATAAATAATGATTCCCGATTTCGGCATCAAGGATATAAAACAGGGGTCTCCAAACTTTCCAGCCTTAGGGCCATACTGATTACTCCAGTAAGTTCCGAGGGCCAAAACCATATTATCATTGTTGCCGGTGGTAAAAAGTTAAATAGTCCACTGATGAAAAAAAAAGTCCGAAAAAGTACGCAACGTTTAAAAAAGGCTGCAAATCGGACTAAAGTCCGCAAAACGGCAACATTGCATATTATTAATTTTCCTGTCATTATCTGTAATTTCTAGATTAGTCGTAGAGTACGAGCCATGAGGAGAAACGTGACACGACATCTGGTGGACACAAGCGGAAATAGGTAGTACCTTCCATCACTAACAGATGGCGCTAATAGCACGTACAGAAGTCAGTTCCTATGACACTGTTGTGGAATAAAATAGTGCATACCTCCTTAAAACGTGTTTGTGCGTGTTTAAGTTTAAGACATCTTTGTAACAGTATTTTGATTTGAATTGTTGCTTTTGTGTGTGATTTAGTAGTATGGAAAAGAAGCGAAAAATTGATAGTGAATGCAGAAAATTCAAAGATCAGTGGAACATTCAGTATTTCGTAATTGAGTCCAGTAACAAGGCGCTATGTTTGATTTGCAATGAAAGCATAGCCGTTCTCAAAGAACGTCATTATGAAACAAAACATTTTCGAATGTTACATTTTCGAATTTTCATAATGACGTTAAACGTCATATGAAACAAAAACATTTTCGAAAATTATTCAAAATATACAGGGAGTTTGCGGACAGAAAAATTCGAAGCTATGAAACGCGGATTGAAATCGCAGCAATCTTCATTTACAAAACTCAAAAACTGAACAAGAGGCTGCAACTTCGTGCCAGCTTTCGTGTGGCTCTTGAAATTGCAAAACGTGGAAAACCATTCACCGATGGAGAAATGATCAAAGAATGCATAATTGCAGTAGCCGAAGAAATATGCCCTGAAAAGGTAAATTTATTAAAAACTGTCAGTATGTCAGCAAACACTGTGGCTCGAAGGGTAGAAAACATCGCTGAAAATATATCCTCTCAACTGTTCGACAAAAATGGACATGTTGAGTGGGTTTCTTTGGCCTTGGATGAGTCAACGGATGTGTCAGATACTGCTCAGGTGTTGATTTATATTCGAGGAGTAGATAAAAGCTATGAAGTGCATGAAGAACTTCTTGATATGTATAGTATTCATGGCACAACTACTGGTACAGATATTTTTAAAGGAGTTGAAATGGCCATTAATCAAAAGAACCTTCGATGGAAAAACTTGAAATGTATTACAACTGATGGAGGCAAAAACATGAGTGGGAAAGATAAAGGAGTGGTCGCTCTTGTGTCAAAGGCTGTAGAAAATGACGGTGGTTCAAAACCATTAGTCTTACATTGTATCATTCATCAACAGTCCTTGTGCGGAAAATGTTTGGATATGTCTGAAGTTCTGAAACCAGTCATATCAACTGTTAATTTAATAGATCTTTTGGGCTGAATCACCGACAATTCCGACAATTTATTGAAGAGATTGGAGAAAATTGACTTACCTTATCATACTGCCGTACGTTGGCTTAGTTGTGGGAAAGTTCTTCAGCGCTTTTTTAATTTCGAGCAGTGATCGAAATTTTTTTGAATGAAAAGCATCGCCCTCTTACTGAATTACAAAACAACGCATGGCTGTGGAAGTTAGCATTCTATGTTGATTTGACAAAACATGTGAACGAACTGAATTTGAGATTGCAAGGAGAAAACCAGCATCTTCCTGATTTATACACTAATATCAAATCATTCCGGAAGAAATTGATACTGTTTCAATCACAACTACGAAGTAAATGTTTTTCACATTTTAAAACATGTGAAATATTCAGCCACACCACTGAGACTGAGTTTCCTATTGATTTTGCAATCGAAACTTTGAGTGCTTTGAAAATAAATTTTGATACTCGTTTCTCGGACTTTGATGCCATTGCGAATCAAATTAAGATTTTTCAGAATCCTTTTGATACTGACATTGAAACCCTAGCCCCGGAACTTCAAATGGAAATGATTGATCTACAGTGCATTGATATAATTAAGAACAAATATCAAAACTCATCTTTGTTGGAATTTTATAAGAGTCTTCCACTGACACAATTTGATAATTTGCATATAATTTGATTTGCTTGTGGGCTGTTTTCTGTTTTTGGTACTACTTATTTGTGTGAGAAGACCTTCTCCAAAATGAAGTACACAAAAAATGTTTACAGATCTAAATTAACTGATGAGCATCTTAAATCTATTTTAATAATTGGTACAAGTAAAATTAGTCCACAAGCTACAAACTATTGTCAGTGGAAAATCTCAGTTACATAAATCTCATTAGTATTTCATATGTCATTATGCTTGTTATAAGTTATGTTTATATTTAAAATGTATAAAATGTTAGTTGGATTCATTTCAATAATTTGTTAGTTATTATGTACTGAAGTTAAATTTTCTGCATATTATACATGTCTTTACTCATTACAATTCTGTGTTTCTTTATCCAACTTATCACAAAAACAATAACAATAAGCCTACAACAATGTTATGAGTAGTTAGCCCATGACCATATCAATGTAGATGTCATATTAATAATTATTCAACATAAAATTAGAATACTTCAGTAAACTAAATTTAATTTGCTATAAAAAATATGTTCTCTAAAAGGAGTTTTCAAGTATGCTAGCTCTCCGCGGGCCGGACAAAATCTGTCCGCGGGCCGGATGTGGCCCACGGGCCGTAGTTTGGAGACCCCTGATATAAAATATTAGTTGGTGTAAAATTAACAAATGTTTCGGTTTGAGATTATGCCAAGCAGATACGCAGCTATGGAGTCAAGTTACTAATCACACAAATTTATGCTAAAATAATTATTTCTTCAATAATGAGATATTTTATTTAGTGCCAAACTGAAATTAAGAATCGGGATTTCCGGCATGTTTTTTTATGATGAAAAAAATCTAATGCGCATGCGTAAAGCATACCCCTTCCCTCTAAAAAAGCCCTAAAAAATTGGTTGGTGGTGGCTTTGAGGTACGGATTTTAGATCATTCCAGATATTGGATGTCCGGATCTCGGAATTTGTACTGTGTATATATATATAGTAAAAAATGTATATTTTCAGTATACAGTTCTTTTATATATATATATATATATATATATATATATATATATATATATATATATATATTATATACATACATATATATGCGATACTTAATTTTACTAATGCCTTGCATGTAATGCCCCTTTTAGCTGCAAAACATCTTTTCCTTCTCAACTGCAGAGTTTCTTCTTACAGTATCATGAATTTTGTCAAGTTAGAAGAACCATCTACTTCAGGAAAAAATGTAACCGCTAATTCAACATCAATAAGTGTAGAAAATAATAAAATAAATTCTTTTCTTTTCAAATCTGAAGTTACCAGATGCAGAAATATTGTGGGCTTTTAAGTGCATCAAAAGCCACTATTCTTTTAAATCGTGCGATGATATTGGGCCCTTATTCACTAAAATGTTCCCGTATAGTTCCATTACAAAATAGTTTTCATGTGGTGAAAAGAAATGTGCTTATATCTGTTATTTTGGTGTTGGCCCTTATTTTAAAACTTTGTTACTAAAGCATTGTAAAAATGCGGAGTTTTTTACATTACTATTTGATGAGACTCTTAATCTGACAAATCAAAAGAAGCAACTAGATATTTATGTGAGGTACTGGCATCACGAAAATAAGGTCAGAACTCAGTACCTTACTTCTGCATTTATAGGGCATGCAAAAAGTGAAATTAGTTTATCCAAATTTTATGAATGTGTTGAAAAACTAGACTTGTCAAAACTCTTACAAATATCGATGGATGGTCCTGCAGTAAACTGGAAATTTTATGATTTATTGCAACAGGACTTGACAAAGGAATATAACATTCAATGCTTGACATTAGGTACATGTGGTTTACACATTCTTAACAATGCTTTCAAAAGCATAGGATGTCATCCACTGGCTGGGACATTCCATCATTCTTATCCTCCTTATATTGGATTTTTAAAGATTCTCCTGCAAGACGTGAAGATTTTTTAAGTATATCTGGCTTAAAAAAAGCTACCTGTGAAGTTCTGCTTTTACCGATGGTTGCAAAATGTCCCAGCAGTTGAAAGAGCCATTGAAATATGGGATGAATTGTTACTGTACATTAAAGAAGTTGAAAGGGGGAAGTTTAAAAAAAAATTCATCGAAATCCTTCTCAAATATTTTGGAGGCAACTAAAGATAAAATATTTCTTATAAAATTAAATTTTTATCTCTCTCTGTCGAAAATATTATTGCCTTTCTTTAAATATTATCAAAGTCATAAACCACTTATTCCCTTTTTTGCTGAAGATATCTTAAAACTTGTAAATGATTGCCTTCAGCACTTTAAAATTTTGAAACTAGAATATTCAAAAATAACTAAAGCAGAAAATCTTTATAAATTTAATTTTAATGATCCAATTTGTTATAATGATAAAAGTAAAGTTTATTTGGGATTCAATGCTGAGCAGTTAATGAATGATAAATGCCGCAAGAAGGACATTTCACAAGCTGAAAGTTTTGCATTGAAACAAGATCAACAATGTGTCTTAACAATAGTACAACACTTAATGTCTAAATGTCCAATAAATTATTCTCTTATTCGAAATGCATCTTGTATAGACCCGCGATTGATGGTTAAAAGTCCAGAAAAAGCCCAGAACAAAATGAAAATAGTTCTAACGGTAATTATGCAGAATAAACGTGTTTTACAAGATGATTGGGATGAAATTCTGCTGTAGTTTGGAGAGTTTCTAGACAAAGTAGTTTCTAGACAAAGACAAATTTACATGAATTTTCTACTTTTGATCCTCAAAATCTTTCTCTTGACACATTTCTCGCTTCTTATTTTCATGATTTTCACTATTCAAAAATATGGAAAATAGTGAAAATGATGCTTATCTTGTCACATGGACAGGCCTCTGTGGAAAGGGGCTTCTCTGTAAATAAAGCAATTGAAATTGAAAATTTAAGTGATTCATCATACATTTTTCAACGCACAGTATTTGATTACATAACATTTTCTGGAATTGTTCTTAATATCGAAATTAATAACGAAATGAGATTAGCAGCAGCTTCTGCAAGATCTAAATATATGCAGTATTTAGAAGAACAAAAATCTTTAACTAAATCTGAAAATTCAAAGATTAAAAGAAATATCATTGAGGAAGATTATATGAAGCAGAAGAAAAAATTTCTTCAAAGGGACATTAAAGATATTAATGAAGAAGTAGATGCTTTAGCAGATGAAGCTGAGACCAGCATGAACATTGATTTGTTTATCAAAGCAAATGAACTTAAAAGAATAGTTAAAGAAAAGGAAATAGACATAAATAAATTAGATGTTAAAATAGCTGAAATGATTTCAGATTTAAAAAAAGCACAAATGTTTTGTACCTTTTATTGTACTGTTTATTATTCTAGTATCTTTCAAAAAACCAAGGAAATAAATTGTATGTTTACAAATCAGTTATTTTAATCTGCAAAATATTCTTACATTGTGATTATAATAGTAGTTGACTGTGTTTGAATAAATATCAAATAAGTTAGTAATAATCATGTAAATCTCTAAGATAGTGAGTGTTATTAGTGTAAAATACACTTATACATGTTTTTAAAGAAATTATGTTCCTAATTTAATGTTATCTACTTCATAACTTGTAGGGAGTTAGTTTAATTTTCAAAATTGTTTTATGGTAAATATTAAAGTGAATTTAATAATAGTGCATAATACACACTTCTGTTAGTTTCTTAAAGTGAAATTACAAGCATGAAGTCGGTTTGTATGGATAATTGCTTTATTCTATTTGTTTTTTTTGTTTGCTGATAGGTCCTTAATTTTTTCTTTGATGGTCCTTAAAACTCTTTAAAAGTCCTTAATTTTTATGTAAGGAAATGTGTACGAACCCTGTTAAATATGTTTCCTTGTTTATAAATTACAGAAGTTTTTTTTTCAATAATTCCTGATATTTTAAAGGAAAATTTTCATGTTTTTTTTTTTTTTTCCTTGTAGCAGGTTTAAATAGTCGTTGATTGAAACCACACTAATTTTACCTAACAATCGGAAAATGACACAAATGACGTGAACTCTTTCATAATTATATTACTCATTAGCATTAAAAAAATCTTAACTTGGGTTGAAGATTACTTCAGAAGAGTTTTTTTTTTTTTTTTTTAATTTCTTAATTTAGATGCCATACAGTCTGGTAATACATATTTTATAATACATAATAATAAGTCTGGTTATACTACAGCCATATCAGTGGCCGATTAGACCGCTAAATATTAGTTGTTGGATTTGGATTCAAACTCAGACGAACGAATGCGATGGCTGTGTGGTATTTTTCCATGTATAACATGAGTATGAGCTATTCGTTGGAAAGGCATCTTTCTACTTTAAAGCAGATAGTCC